TAAAAAAACTCGTCAAAAATAACTTATTTTTCGATTTATACAAATTGAAGCCTCGGTTGCGAGTTATCGACATTGGCCTGTTGATACTTCAAATTGATTCCCTGTAGCAATCTTCATGCACGATTCATTCACGATGCGACCCGACGAAAATCTGGTCAGTGGGGATCGCAGAGCGTTGGGTAGGTTAGCGTGGCATAGCATCGGGCAGATATGCACGGATGTAATACAACCTTATGGAAAAATGGACTTTGGATATGCGTCGGGTAGCGTCACATGGCGTAGCATCGCATGGGATTGTCTGGATGGGTTCTGTTGGACAAGGCCTAGGCGAGATGATGGGCGTGATTATTGTGAAACTTAGTAAAACTTTAAGGGATTATAGTTTGGATAAATGGGATTTTAAGGTCGTTTGAAGGGTAATGTTGAAGACTTAATAAGAGGCATTTATAAGTGATCTGAGGATTTTAGATTGAAAGGATTGGCGACATTGGATATTGGAAAGTTTAGCCGTTCCCCACATTTCTATGTCCAAATCGGTTGTAGTAGAGTTTTGTAAATTGTATGTTTGTTTTTCTTCGATAGCTTGGATTGTCGTCCTATAAGTTTGTAGAGAAGACTGTTTAGTAGGTTGGTCGTTTCAGTCTTATGTGCTCATTCCACGTTATGCGTGAATGTAGGTGGAACCCAAGGTAGCATACGCAGTCGGATTTGAGGATAGGAACGTTGTTGCAATGTATAGTGTGAGAAGATTTGCTTCGGAGTGAAAATGTGACATGGACTTGCTTTCATTTATTGTCATTTTCCATTGTCTACACCAATCAGTATATATAAAACAGTTCCGCGACTGACTGACAGACTACGCACAGACCAAACGGATCTAAAGGGCTGAAATTTTGACAGTGAATTTCTATAATGACATGTATAGCCTCTAAGAAAGGATTTTTTGAAATTCCATCCCTAAGGGGAACATATGGACAATTTTTTACCAAAGTGAACTGAAGAAAAGAAAAATTGGAGAAACGAGACATCATATTAGAAAGCCATACTAGCACGCTGCATCGCATTAGAAATGTACATTAAAACAGTGTTCCTCATCGGCGAAGTCGCGGGTAAAAGCTAGTCTGCTGTACATGTGACATGTCTCTGCAGATCTTCCGAAGCAACTGGTTCGGGTTTAGAGGATAGTACAGCTGCATCAACGGCAACAGATGCAAGAAGAGTGGTAGTTTTAGAGTGAGCATAGGCAGAGTAATGTATATAGAGTAGTTCCAAGCACACTGCCCTGTGGTATTCTCTCGGCCAGAGAGAGCAGTATTCGGAGTAATCTGATTCTTGTCGGACTCAAAAGAATCGCAGTGTTATATAAGAGCGGAGGATTAAGTATTTGGAAGGACATGCTTTCACTTGTAAAGGAGATCCTTGTGCTTATGTCTCATCAAGAAAGGCCCCCATACAACATTCTTTTCGCTCAAGGGAGGAGGATATATAGTCTACAACGCGAAACACTTGCTGGATGTGGATTAATGGGGTAAAAGCCAAACCGATCATCCTGGAGGTTTTTAATTTTGGCGACAGTCTTTTAACATATGATGAGGCTTTTTGAACTGGTCTGCCAGGTTTCGAGAAGAGGATGTGTGTCATTTTATGTTTTAAGCATAGATAATTTCGTTATGATTTGTATCTCTGATTGTTCCGTCATCGTATGTCCACTTTAGTCATGTGTATTTACTTTTCAGTAAAACGGGGAGCACACAACGCAACGTGACGCGATGCATCGACACCCACGCCAATCGATGTCCAATTTTCCGTAAAAATCTACTACCCAAGAGCACATTTGCCTCTCTTGACGCAGCGCCAGTCTACTCTACGCGACGTCTGGCAACCAACTGTCCAAATTTTCGACGGTTAGCGTCGGGTGGTTCATCCCAATATACATTTCTAAATACAAAAAGCGAAAAAGTAGTCTGACTTTCATAAAATTGTCCAAATCATGAAGGAAAATGCATGTATGAGCAAAATCCGTATAAAGTCGAAAGATATGAATGAAGGTAGGTTTTATTTGAACATGGCACAATCTGTTGCATGCTCCATGCAAATAATTCAATCGTTGTTTTATCAACCAAAAATACAGTGGAATCGATCAGCATTTTCTTCCTTTTCTAATATAGAAATCAAGGTATGACATGTGCCAGATATATCTCCAGTGAGGTTCATTTCATGAACCCAAGTTTTTCTGTTCCCGGTTGAAAGCAAGCTGATCTTCCTCAGAACTATCCATTCCGTAAATACTACAGTGAAATACTGTGCGACTGTCGCATGGAGTGTGGCTGCGTCTAACATTATTTTGCAGAGTACTCCAGGTCCACATGGAATGTTAGACTGAGCACAAACCAACATGCGTTCATGCGTTTTGTTGCTTTTTTTCTGTCTTGTCTAGGCGGCAGACGCTCAATTTTTCTGCCATGGATCGTACAGACCCATAAGAAATTGTGAACTACCATTAAGTCTTGGAGAAAGATAGACAAAATCATAAATCTCTAAAAACTAATAAATTAAATAAAAATGTTTAAAATTAACATAGTTTTACAACATCGTAGAAATGTTATAGCTGTAGTACTAATATGTTAGTCTAACGTATCCACTTATTTTTCTAGGTTGTAATTAAAAATGTGGGTTCTTTGTTTGTAAAAAACAATTAAATATTTGATACGAGTGGAAATTGCATTCTGCATCGATTGAATCTTGTCCTGTCGTTAATGGTGATGATTGATGAGAAATGATCCGTTCATGCTTTTGAATGAACAAGTCTTGTACTGTTCAGGTGCCGGTGCACATTAATTTCCTCTGGCCTTCCGACTGTCAAGCCTCGTGTCGAGGAGTGGAATTGCCTACAAATAGCAGTATCTTTTACGTACATCTAATCTTCCTCCGCCCACGATTTTCCAAGGGAAAAGTTCAACCGCCGATGGAAATTGGAAAAGATAAAAATAATTTTCTTCTCCGGTACAGCTAGTCAAGAAAAAAAATCCAATTTACAAACAAATTAAATACCGTACAATACGGAATATCGAGTTAGTATTTTTTTAATTTAAAATTCAATCAGCTCCCCCACAAAAGAATTGAGACTTTGAAAAACGCAGAGCGAATGAAATTCGAAGAATTATTTCAATTGCAGAAAGTCTAGAATTATACAAACACAAAGCACATGAAAATAAGTATATTTACAAACTTTGAAATAGTCGTAAATTTTTTTTGGGTTCATTGCACCAGACACACACAACAATTGGGTTGATCAGATAGAATCTGCTTCAGACATCTTGATTTATTTTTAATGGAATTAACCTGTGAAAAATTTATCAACATTTAACCTCGAATTTAATCTGGTACCTCATCAGGTACAATTTAGGAATCCGACTGTGATATCCGTAAACTATTACAGTGTCTGGGAACATATTGAGGCAGTTCAAAATAAGAAATGGCCAGCGGAGGAAGTCTTGATGGATTGCCCATCACCCACCAACTTTACTACTTTATTTCATCCCGGCCCTATTAGGCGCCCGCAATTATTCTATTAATATAAACGCCTTTTTTAATCTCGTTAATTTTTTTTTTAACATTAGCCAATTTCTTGATCGACTTATAGCTGAAAACTTAAAATAAAATCTAGTTGGTCTGGCTAACGAAAAGATTATCTGTAATTCTGTCTCTCTTCCCTTCCTTCCAAAAGCTCTTTCTTCTCTCTCTCTCTAT